GAGAAGAAGTCAGTTCTGGGACTGTAAATAGGATAGGGCTTTAGGAAAAGTGTGTTTTGCTTCTGTTAGAAAAGCAAATGGAAAAGTATTGCTTGACTCTTACTTGGAAAAGATGAGATTTTTCTTTTTTGTCAGTGTTTTTATACTAGGAAACCAGAGCAGGGAATTGATAAACTTATGAAGCATCTGAAATTGCGTACAAAATTTTGTAGCAATGAAACTTTCTTAGGAACAGATAAATTAGCTTTCATCAGATTCTCAAAGTAGTTTATGCACCCCTCTCTTTCTAGGGGTTAAGACTATTCAGGAAATTTCTTTGAATTGTTTAAACAATGAATGGTAAAAAATAAAAAGCACTCTGAACTATTAAATGTTGAATATATTAGTTAAACACAATAATAATGTTAAAAGTGCCTGAACAACTAAAATGAAGCATTTTTGAACTCATACTAATGCTGCCTAAAATTTTCTCATAGGCATTTAAATTTGCAAGGAAAAGATAAGAAAAACAAAATCATGAAATGAATTTATAGTGAGGAATCATACGGCGTGTATATCATTTTAAGCTCCTCAACCTGCCTCATCTACATTGTGAATCTGTAAAAACTACTGAATATTTCTGTGCCTCAGTTTCCTCATGAAGAAAATGGGGACAGTGAAAATTACATATTAAGTAAAATAATGTAAGTAAATAGAACAAGTCTTGGCACAATAAAAGTATTCAAATAATACTGGTTATTGTCATTAGAAAATAATTAAATCTCAGTAATCTGTAATTTATTTTTAATTTATTATTTTAATTAATTTTTCTCTTAGGTAGAAAATTGCAAGGCAAATATCTATTTTTAGAGATTTATTATTTTTCTTTTCCTGGAATTTATTTTCAAGTCTAATTATAGTCTAAGAACTAATATACTAAACACTGATGTTATCAGTCAGCCTCAATCTCACTTATAAATGAAAAAATAAGACTATGTCCTAGAGTGAAAACCCATATGAAAGAACATTCAAGAAAAAGTATTTTGGAAGGCAAAAAGCATGTCCATAGAATAAATGCTAAGTATATGTATAACAAATGTAAAGGCAAATTTTAAAAAGCTAAAACTTCTTAGGCAAATGTACTATCACCACATCAATAATTGCTAACTTAGTATAAAGCTGTTGAAGGAAGCTAGAGGCTACCCACTGGTTTAGGGAGTCCTTGCAGAATTACTAAGTCTCTACACACCTCAATTTGAAGTGAGAAACATTCGACTTTGAATGGAGGCAGGAAGACGTGACCAAGTTTAGAAATGAATCCAAAGAATGTTTTGCTGCATATAGATGGCACAGAATCCTGAGCAGCAATCATTTTACTGATTAACATTGTTTATGTGCAATACGTGAAGTTGTCAAGGTTTGTTTTGTTTTAAGCCATTATAAAAAAGAGATTAAGCTACAACAAAATAGTTCACCTCTACCATAACTAGGAATGTCAGAAATACCTAAGTATAAAAGGCTGCTTACTGTTGCTGATAGGAGTTAGTCTAACATCTGAGGGCACTTAAGATGGCATCTCTCTCCAATCCTTAAAGGTATACTTTTCCCAAAGGCGCATCCTTGAACCCTGGCTGTTACCTATTTCTCTCTCCCTGAATGATCTCACTGATTCCCATGGCTGTTACCATCACCTGTGTATTGATGACTCCCCAATCCATATCACTGGCTCTGCCGGTGCTAGGGACCTCCACCCTCCCCTCAAACTACATTCAACAACATTCCCTCCTCCGCCACTCCCAGGCCAGACTACCTGCTTCTTCTAAAGCACTGCCTCTCACTACCTCTAGCATTGTTACATAAATATAGTGAGGAATGTCGCTTCTTTTTTTCCCCTCCCAATTATGCTTTCAGATCTTTAATTCTATGATATTGATTTTGGCACATGTGTGTGTTTGTGTGTCTGTTTAAATTGTGACAGAGCGCCTTAGAAAAAGAAAAAAGTGAAATTAAATTATTGATTCTTAGCTCATCATTATTCTGGTCTCTCAAACTTGAAAACTGAAGTCTCAGTCAACTGCCAACTGACCTGGGCTTTGCCCTTGGGCTACATCTCCCTCCATTCTCCATTTCTGCCATTGTTTCCCTATTCAAATGCTTGTCCTGTCTCACATGAAAGCTTCCTAGTTGGCACACCTGCTGACCGCCCACTCCCTTGAATCCTTGAATTTATTCTGCACCACAGCTACCAGATTAACACTGAGCAACCCATCAAGCAGTCCTACTCAAATGCCTAATGGGTCTACATTCACCACTCAATTTGTTATTAAATTCTCCCTTGTATTGGAAACTCTTCACAGTATGGCATGGCCCTCCTTCCTTTCAGTTTTTCTCCTACTAATCTCTTCCACAGGAACTTACATATCAGAAAGGATAATCACAGTCCCTCGAACATGCTCCGGGCTGTTCTGATTCAATTCATTGCTAATAGTTCCTTCCTCAAACACTCCCCTCCTAAACCTTCCTTTCTCATTGAAGGTTCTCACAGCTTCCAGGGACCATACCAGCTCATTTTGAAAAGTGCCACTCCCTATAGGATACAGATCAAACTCCTAATGGGTTAGAGGCCTTCAACATCCAGCCCAGACATGCACTTCTAGTGACTTTTCTTACCATTCACTAACAGGCGGTACTACCCTTAAACCTAGCAAAGAGAACTCTGCCTTGGCCCCATTCCTTGGCAATTCTGGGCCTCTTCTTTCTGAAACACATTCCCTGAGGCAAAACCAAAAGGATGTATGCACCTGGAGTCCATCCGATAGACCTTTTAGACCATTTTCAGGTAGCAGGACACGGAAAAATTCCTTACCCAAATGGGCACCAACTTACTTCCAGAGTCTCTTTCTCAGGTCACCCTTGGATGCATGAACCACGGTCCTGATATCCCTACATCTAGGCCTTGAGGGTAGGCAAAGCAGGGCTGTGTTTTAGGGATGTGACCAGAGCACGTACATTGAGGCTGACATGTACACATGTGCAGTCAATAGTGTGGCCTGGAAACAGTTCTCCTCTTGCCCTCATTCCTGCATGGAAATCCCAAAATTCTGCCTTCTGGATTATCATAAAGGTATATTTATTAAGGAGGAAGGATAGACATTTTATTAATATGTTATCTTTATATTTTTAAATTTTTAAATATTTAGGCACATAATATGTGTTCCTTCCTTTGTTATTCCTGCCCTATGCCCTACCAGTGTCAAAGGTCAGTGTGCTCCCAAGAAATCTGTCTTTTAACTATGCCAAATATTTGCATGTCTCTCATGCCCTGTGTTTCTCAAACATCAATTACATTGCACAGGCTATTCTTTCTGTGTATAATGCCTGACAGTTTCCTTTTCCTCCAGCAGCATCCTTCAAGAAGTTGAACGGTGAAAATTGCCCCACTGTATCTATTTTTTAGCACTGCTCTGGAAGTACTATATAATACAAACAAAAACAAGAAAGATAGAAATGTGAGGGGAAAATTCACATCCCTTTCATGTTATATGAATTTGTATTAAGATTACTCAGGGAATAAACTAAAAACCTATTTTTAAGGTATAGGAAGTTATGTTAAAAAGATAGTTATGAAATTAATTTACAAAATTCAGTAGATTTCCTATATGTTAATAATACTTAACCTACAAAATGAGAAAAAAATTTCATTCACAACAGTAACAAAAAGATAAAATACCTGGAAATAGTCTTTAAAGACCTATGTAGATGTTTATTTATGAAGTCTAAAGAAACTTTAAAACTCTATTTAGGAAAGTCTTTAATAAATAAAATACATACCTTAGGTACAGAAAAGAAAAAGAAGATTTGATTGTAAAGATGTCAGTTCTCACAAAATTAACACATTGATTCAATGCAACAGGATTCCAAGTACAAACGAGATTTTTTTTTTTTGGAACTCTCACATAGAAAAATATGTGAGAATAGCTAGAAAATATGCTAACAGCTATTAAATCAATTATATAGCTAATGTATTTAAATGTTTGCTCCTTGTTTCTAGGAGAGACTGCAAAGAAAAATGATAGCAGAAATTGACTTAAGTACTGATGAATGTTTTACTGTGTAATAAGGCTGAAGGTTTTAATAACCTGGAAGATGACTTTACCAACAAATGGCGTTAGAAGACTTGGCTAGCTCTTTGGAGAGATAATAAACAGAGTTGATTACCTCATTCATGATATAAAAATTAAACTCAGATCAAAGGTTATAATGTGAAAATGAAATCCAGTAAAGCTTTAGAATAAAATTAAATAATTTAAAATTTTTAAAGTCTTATCAACATGTCACAAAGATCATAATTCAAAGAGGAAAAAATATTGAAAAATTAACATCAAATCTTTTCAAATTAATTTCATAGCACAAAGAAAAAATGCCATACCAATGTTAAGGGACAAGTGACAAACTGAAAAATAATCTGCAATACATTATCTTGACAAATGACCAAGTGCCTTAATAAATCAAGAGCCCCCGTAAATAAAAGACCAACAACCTAACAGAAAAATTAGCAAAGGAACTAATTTGACCACTCATAGAAAAAGAAGTACACTTGCAGATAAGTGTTTGGGGGAATGCTAACCCATACTCAGTTTTTTTAAAAAAACACCAAACCAAGAGGATTTAAGCTACCAACACTCACTATGACAGCGGCAAAGGTTTAAAATTTCATAAAACTTTTGTTTCTGGGATAACCAGTATTCTTTTACTAGAATAGTGGGTATGTGACTTGGTGCAGCTTACTTGAAAGTAAATTTGTTGATTTCAGCCAAAAGAGCAAACGAGTGTACTGATATATTTGAGTCTATTTTAGCAAATAATACTCCATGGGTAAAGCAAATCTTTAATATTTAAATAACGCTGGCTTGTGAAGCCAAATTTTAGTCATCTGTTCCTGGAAAAAAAAGGTAAGAAGCTTTTGTTTTTCATCATTTTGAAGCCATATTTCTTCTTTTTCCAACAAGAAAGAGAACAAAATGGCAAGAGGCAATCATACCACAGTTACAGAATTTGTCCTCATGGGATTCACAGACCGTCCTGAACTTCAACTTCCCCTCTTTGTGGTGTTCCTGGTGATTTATATCATCACCCTAGTGGGAAACCTTGGCATGATCCTGCTCATCAAGGTGGATTCAAGGCTCCACACCCCCATGTACTATTTTCTCAGCCACCTAGCATTCATTGATCTTTGTTACTCTTCTTCCATTGGGCCCAAGATGCTGCAAAACTTACTGGTAAAGAAAAAAACCATCTCCTTTTCAGGCTGTTTTGCCCAGCTGTACTTCTCCAGTGCTTTTGCCACCACCGAATGTTTCCTCTTGGCCACAATGGCCTATGACCGCTACATGGCCATCTGCAACCCCCTGATTTATACAGCCATTATGACTCAGCGGGTCTGCAAGGAGTTAGTAATAGGAGTCTATACCTATGGCTTCCTCAACTCTGTGATACAGACTGTTCTGACTTTCCAGTTGTCTTTCTGCGAATCCAACATCATCCACCATTTCTACTGTGCTGACCCCCCTCTCCTTGCCCTCTCCTGCTCGGACACTCAGAACAAAGAAAAGCAGCTCCTGGTCTTTTCTGCAGTGAACCTCACAGGATCCCTTCTGACAGTCCTCATCTCCTACATTTGTATCCTTTTTGCCATTATGAAAATCCAGTCTTCCGAGGGCAAATGCAAAGCATTTTCCACCTGTGCCTCCCACCTCACTGTGGTCATCATCTTCTATGGGACACTGTTTTTCATGTACCTGTGGCAACCTAAAGCAGGGACTTCATGGAAGTACAACCAAGTGGTCTCTGTGTTTTATAGTCTTGTCATTCCCATGCTCAACCCCCTGATCTATAGCTTGAGGAACACAGAAGTGAAGGATACCCTGAAAAAGATGCTAGAGGTCAAAGAGTCATAGTGTGTGAGTTATCAGATGCAGCAACATGAAAGTGTGGTACACAGACGCATAAAACCAATAAGATTGAAATTTAGCAGGCCCATTGCTCTACCGTCACAACAGTTCTACTTGGAATTAACTCATAGGTCATAAAAAGCATGTACTTCATATACTGAAAATGAAGGGGTTTACTACCAATTGGATAATAGTATGATTCTAAATTTTTAAAAAATGCTAAAAAGAAACTAATGAAACTAGGTACGGAACTCAAGCAAGAAAATCCATGCTGTTAGAAACATTTTCCACCTCTAAATGGGCTATATTGTAGTAAATCATTTTTTAGTCTTGAAACATTTTGCCTCATATATTGTTATAGATTCTGGCTAAGTTTAAAAACCAGATTTTTAAAAAAAAGAGCTTATTTACTCTAAATGCATGTTTAAAATGAGCAATAGAAAAAATAGTATTACAACAATATTAGAGTTGGACAAGAATAGAAAAACTATGAATCAGTTAATGTGTGGGGGGTGTGGGTTGTATTTTTAGCATAAGCAAGATTTGATTACAAGAGACAGAGAGGGTTGAGGGTACCTTCAGAGGTGTTAAAAGTGTTCATTTATTCAACAGCCAGGGTTTCATTTTTCTAGTCTTTGAAAAGTGCAACTATAGTGAATTTTTTTAAGGGGGAGTGAGGTAGAAGGGCTCATAAATGAACTGAAGAAAGGAAAAAAAGAAGGAAAAAAAAAGAAGAGAGAGTTTCCTGAGATAACCAGGCATGAATACACTTATTTCTGAAAGATGAAATTATTTTCTTACATAATTTGAAAGATCCAGAGAAATATTTTAATTTTGCAGCATTTTCCATGTGCTCTATGTCTGTTTGCACGAATCTGATATTTTAGTTGTCTTAGAAATAAATCGATATACATTTTTGCTGCTACTGGGGATAGGTGACAGAAAAATCTCTAACTTTTTTAAGGCAAGAATATAAGCACTTTATAGCTTTTCCAAGACTCAATTCAATACATCTCCCAAAATAATCCTTAAGAAATACAAATCTTCCATAAACTATTCAATTTTTCCATTTTCAAATGTGATTACTATTTTTACCTTTTTAAAAAATGAAAAAGGACATATATCGCCCACTAATTACAAGTAAGTTTAAAATAAATCAGGAAACAAAAGGCTTCCTATTGCTAACCAAATAACTCTTCAGATAACATGACGGCATCTTCGCTTAATTGCTGCTTATGATTAAGTAATTTAGAAAAATTAAAATATTTTGAACTTCTCTTACTTAATTCAGAAATCCTTTTTCTGGAGAGTTGAGTTACTGGATGGGGTGTTGTTGGTTATGGCTAAAAAGAATAATATTACCCGTTTGAAGTCACTGAATAAAGACAGATTAGAGACAAGTCACGGAGGTAGGAGAGCTGGCACAGGTAGGTTATACACAAGAGAAGGCAGGTAAAGTGGGTAGGATAGTGCTAAAGGTTGATATGAGACACAAGCTCCTTAAGACTAAACAGATTGTCTCTTCACTAGGGACTCCAGGGCCTACCACCATTCCTGGCATAAAACAAACACATCATAACAGTTTACTGAACAGAATTGAACTCTTCTGTCTTTGCTCTTGGTTCTAATGGACTCACTAATGGCCCTGGGGCCCTGGGGTTGGTAAGTAACACAGAAAGGGAAGTTAACAGGGGTCATAACAAGAAGACTGGCTTTCAGTCACCCCCCAGTGAGGTTAACATCTTTAGGGCAGGAAAATATGTCAATTTCCCCAGCGGGGAAATTGGTATGTTAGGAAGATGACAATAGCTAGAGTTATCGATGGACCATGGCAAGCAAAGGACTGTTAATACAGGAAGAGGTTGCTACTAACTGGGATAAGAAAATGTGCACAATACTTAGATCAGATATGTATTTTCAATTACAAGTCATACCCATTTCTTTAATCTTTTTTCAAACTATTTCCCATGTCAGTTTAGTTCAGAAAAAGGGGGGAAACAGTAAGTAGATATCACATGTTTTAATACATGCCTCTCATGTTTTTAAAGAAATAATTGGTCTAAGCGTACATATCATCAATTCTTCTTAGAGAAAATTGAAGAAAGTGTGTCACGGAACCTTCTCCATGCCTTTCCAGCATCTGAATTTGTGTGGTTTGTTCACTGGGCTTCCTTGACTCCTGTAAAGCAAAGTAGAAAATTGAGAATTGTATTCAAAGATTATGAAAAATAGAATCCCATGTTTTCCTAAATTTCTAAAGAATTAAAAAAGCAAAGATCTAAGTGTGAGGAATATTCTGTGTAACCTAAACTTTGGGCTAATTTTCTATTTCCTTTACAATTGGGGCTCCTTAATCTATTAAAGCTACCTCCCTGATTTGGGCTTTATAGTAAGAAAAGTCTCAGGGGCAGAATTCTCCAGTCATGTTTTTAAAAATATATAACATACTATATGCATATATAGTATTAAAGTGACAATATTTAACCTATAAGAGAGACCATCATGATAATCCATCTTTGCTTATAAAGCAAAACCACTTCAATCACTACTCATCATCATCATATTAATCTTTATACCAATAATTATACTACATGAATAAATATCTCCTGAATATGTAAATATTACTACCATAATGAAAATGTTACCATTATCAAAATTTAAACATCCAGTGTTTCATTGGCAATGAAAATAAAATAGCTCTCACATAGAAATAAAATATAATTTTATTTTCCTTATGGTAATCCTAAAAATGGATGTTATTTGCCAGTGTTCACCATATGGACAATTCATTGACAATCCAATTATATAACTGAAACCTATGACATCTGCATCGGTAGATATAACTTTATAATCATTTGCACATAAAATGCTTAAATTTAAATTTCTTATTTCTCCACATTTACTACTGTACTGATTTGTCATGCTTAAAAAACAAGCCAAAGGATTTTTTTCTTACATTGACCATAAAAATAGGAAAGACGAAGGCAAATACTATTCATTCTTTCAATATTTCTTTTTTATAAGTATTTCTGAAACTTAGTCATTTTAAAACCTCAAATGTACACCCCAAATTTTCAACACTGCCCTGGACATACAATTCTAGCATTCTTTTGAAAGTGACATGGAATAAGGAAATGTTTATTCAATGTTAAGAAGTGACTTCTACATGCAATTAAAGTCACCCACCAGAGACATGGGTAGCTGCTGATGTCAGAACTTGGGAGATTAGGCTCCCGGGAAGGTAAGCGATATAGCTAGCCTATTCTTTCAAACCCTTCCCTTTTTTGTGTAAAAATACATTTTGTTAATATTTACATAATATTAGTTTCATTAAGGTTAGTCTGTGTGAATTTCCTTCTCTGGGAAGATAAGGCAAATTGAAGATGGGAAAGAGCATCTTTATTTTTAAAAATCAAATGTTTCTCTCCTATACTGTTACTAGCAGCTCAACTGAGGCAGTTTTTAAAAGGTTTTATTCTGTGGCCTGGGCAGGTGTGTTGACCACTCAGCCACTAGGATACCTATTACCCACAGCTTCTGCTCCTCCTTACAGACAGCCCTGTCTGCTGCCCACATTGGATGTGCATGGAAATAGGCTAGAACAATAAGCCAGGCCTCCAGTCCACCTCCGTTCACCCTCTAGTAGGGAGGCCACACAATTACAGGTTTCTCACAGTTTGGCAAGAATAGGAAGAGTTCCTAGTCCATCTCTGAAAACCCACAAAATGTTTTCATGCCTTTTTATTGTCTTCCCTTTTAAAAAAAAAAAAAAAACACTTTCAACCTCCTTCCCCTAGTGTTTTCTATTTCATGTGAAAGTTGATACCATGAATGTTATGTTTATGTTTAGTTATTTCATCATGCACTTCACCCACACTAGCAGACTTTGTCAGAAATCTTTCAGATGCAGAGTTTAAATTAATGTTAATTATAATAAAGCAGCAAATTGAAAGGAAGCTGAATTCATGTTATTTGTACTGGAGGAGGAGACATTTTTATAAAGGTAAAATATTTTTCACAAATGTTGGACCACCTTTCCTTAATGTATTTACCTAAAGTATCTACAGGCACAAAATAACAACTCTATCAACTTTAATCTAAGAATAACTTTCTCTGATCAGCTTTAATTAATTAGGTGCTAAAACATTGTCTGCTAAGCTTTCATCTCCTGGCTTATTCATATTTCCCTGTACATTAAATTGTGAAATTTATCAAGATAAGACTGTACCTGTGTCATCACTTGACTAGAGCTGTCACTGAATCTGATAGCATCTAGAAATGCACATGTGGGAACTATGCAGTGAGCAGCGGCACACCAACAAGCAGAATAAATAAAGCAAAGCCTGAAAATATTTATAGTCTAGGAGGTGAGGATTTGGCTTTCCAAATAATAAAAATAATGTGGCCTCAAAAGCAGTCAGTGCTGGTGGCATAATAAGAGAAACTGGGCTGAAAAAGTCAAGGTCTTAGCTTGCATCCTGCTCTAAACTCTTGAGATCTTTCAAGTGGCTTAATGCATGTAAGTCTTATTTTCACCTAGAAAATGAGGAAAATGAGATCTTACAGGATTACATAAAGATAAAATAGCACAGGGCATGCTGAATCATATTTTAAACATTCAAAAGAATAAACCATTTACTTCTTAACCAGATTCTACCACTTCTGCCAAGTATTCAACTTTCAGAATCAAATACTTAGAAAATTCTTGCCAAAAAAAATTTTTTTACAAAATATGAACATTGCAGATCCAATAAATGATTTTCATCTGCTTGATCAAAAAAATTTCCTACAACTAATTTCCAATTTACAGTTCCAATGTCTGTTTGCAAGTCAATAATTTGTGACATGGACACAGTGCCCCTGGAAACACAGTTGCACAAGACTGCTCAGAGCAAACCATAAAATCTTAACTCATAAAAAAATCCATAACAAGTCTCCACTGACATTTCTTTGTTCCCATAGAACAAAGATCCACCTTCCACATGGGCCACTAGCAACCCCTTTACTAGCTACAGG